AAGAAAAATAAAAATGTGTGCAACTTTTTTTTTTTCAATTTCGTTGTGGATGTCAGAAGTTGCAAAAATAATAATAATAAATACAAAAAATTGAAATAAGTTATTATATTATTTTTAAAATATATTTTTCTTAAAAAAAGAATATATTTACCATTATTGTAATATGGAATATATAACCGACCATAGATTAAAAATTATGTAATATTGTAGATATTACCCAAAATTTAGTTTTCACATTAGATCCATGAATTGTGTCAATGGAATTAGTATTCAAAAATAAAAATCTTAATCTCAAAGTCAGACATACAAACGTTATCCAAAATAATGCAAATATTTAATATAGGGAAAAGTTTATATAGAGCCAATGCTCTAAACAATCACATTTGAGCCTACCTGAAAAATTTCACTAGAAGAGGTTCTTTTGATGCCCAAATATCTTTAAATTCATCATCCCGACATCAAGATACGTGGACATGAGAAAAAAAAATCGATTTCAAGTTTTGAAAATAGTGTATTTTTGTAATGCACTTTTTTATTGCCAATTTTTAATATTTTCAAGTTTTCATAGATCTATTGATCTACACTATTTTTTAATATTTAAACCTTATAAATAAATATGAAAATATATTTTAAGGCTATCGCACATATTTCTAGTATTGAAACCACATTTCTCGACACTATTTGAAGGTAGGCTTTAATTTGATTGTTTAGAGCCTAGGCTCTATACAAACCGCACCCTTTAATATATAGTATTAACTGAAGAATATCTATTTTTATAATCACCTAAAATGGTAGCTTATTCGAATAGTTTGAAAAATCCATAATTTAAGGCAAAATATACATTTACGAAAAAAATTACAAAAGCACCTTTATTATCCGAATTAATGTAAATGCTATCCACGTTAATGCAAATATTTGATATATACTACTAACTCAATAATATAGTTTTCTAATTACCTAATAAATAATTATACTATAATATTATTTATTTGTTGGAATTCAATTCAATTATTTCTTAAAAAGAGGTGTCTTCACATCTAATGAAGTGAGAACTAAAATGATATTTGTAGAGCTCCAATCAAGAAATACATTTACGGTTTCATTACATCCGAGATTTATCTACAAAATGAGATACATCACAAGAAATAACTGATAATAGATAAAAAAATTGACCAATATTGTAAATATTACTTAAATCATCTCGAAAAACTTGATCTACAAAGCCTCAATCAACAAATTATGTTAGGACTTATGTCGATCAATCAAAGATCTAAAAAATAACTCAATTTCACATAATGATCTAAAAAATGAAATCCACATAGAAACTAATGAGAATATGATGGAAATGACCGAAATATAGGCAAAAACAATGAAGAAATGGAGAGAAAACAGAAGGTTATATATCTTGTAGATCACTGAAAGATTTTAAAAAAAACCTCAAAAAAAAAAAAAAAAAAAACTAAGTTCCACTTAACAAAAAAAAAAAAACCTCAACTCTACATTGAAACCAAGAAGAACATGATAGAAATGACCGAAAATGTAGGCAAACACAATGAAGAAATGCAGAGAAAATGAAAGATTACTTACCTTGAAAACTTAAAATTTTGTTTTCACAATATATCCATCGAGAACATCTCGAATAACTTGATATATATAGCATCAATCAACAAATCATGTTAGGACTTCTATAGATCACTTAAAGATCTACAAAACTAAACAAAAATAAAAATCAAGTCCACATATAAACTAAGGAGAACATGATAGACATGTCTGGAAATGTAGGCAAAAGCAATGAAGACATGCATAGAAATGTAGAAATCATGAATACATAACTAAATATTTATATTAAAATGAACACCACTTATCATCAAAAAATCATAAACCATAAATACACAATCCTATAGCCTGTATGATCCCTCGCTCAACACCACACTCCCCTTTATATCGGAAAATATGTGGCCACCACCACTTTCGCACTCTGCATTGCCTCCATCAATGCCAAATCCAACCCCTGTTGCCTCCGCGTTGGGTTCACAAACACATCCAAAGAGTTGTAAAACTTGGCTAATCTCTTTGGCTCCATGACCCTTAGCCGACAAATAGAAGGAACACACCAGGTTGTCTAACTCTTATTTCAGATAAAGCCTTGAAAAACAATGGGTGTCCACTATCCTTAACCAACTGCGCAACCACTCCCATCACCAAGCTCACATTATGTGGGAAGGCAAGCTAGAGAGAGAGAGAAAGAGGGGGGGTAGAGAGAGGGGTTTAGAGAGAGAGGGCGGGTAGAGAGAGGGTTGGTAGAGAGAAAGAGAGAGGGTTGGTCTATTCTGTGATTGTCTGATTCAGTATATTTTTCATATGATTTGGTGTTGGATGTCTGTCATGTAGGAAGGGAGAGGTAGTAGTGAGATTGATGTGTGAATTAATTTAGCCTATCTGATGGTCTTTAAGAGGGTAAAAACTAGACTAGTTGGTCGTTGGATACCTCCGCTACAAGGTTGGTTAAAGTTAAACTTTAATGGCAGCTTCCTCGGTAACCCAAGAAATGCAAGGATAGGAGGTGTGGTACGTGATTGGAATGGATCTATTGCTCTTGCCTATGCTGGACCTATCGAAATTGCCATAACTAACATGGCAGAGTTTAGTGCCTTGCTCAAAGGACTACTCATTATTATAGCCATGAATTTGGGTCATGATATTGTAGTCGAAGGTGACTCCCAAAATATGATTAAGTGGTGCAACAAAGATCAACGAGTTCCTTGGGTGTTGCATTTGATTTGGGTCCAAGTGGTGAAACTGGAAGGAGATTTATCTTTATCATTCCATCACGTCTATAGATAATCGAATAGTCTTGCGGATGGTTTGGCTAAAAGAGGTGTGGCTATGGAGTCATTTTCTATTTTGAATGATGTAATGAGTGAGTGATGTAACTGATTTTTAATCTTCAATAATAAGTGGTACATTTGTCAAAAAAAAAAAAAAGAGAAAGAGAGAGAGGGGAAAGGTAGTTTAGAATCAAATATTTTGACTTTTTTATCGGAGGGTAAGAAAAAAAAAAAAATGACTGATGATGGGTGTTATACTAAAAGTATTGGGGTGTGATGTCTACAAAGTTCCATTTTGTGGTATCCATAATTTTCCATTTAAACCCTACCTAAGATAACTAAGAACAAATTATTCAAACAGTAATTTAAAAAACCCAAAAATGCAACAATTTATTTCATAAAAAACTATTTATGAAGATATCTAAAGTCAAAAGTATCTAAAGTCAATTTACAATATGTGTTGCATGATTTTAAATGATTTTTTGTTGATTATAATTTTTTTAATGTAAAAGCCCGTTTTTGTTTGTTTTCAAGAAAAACACTGATCATCTTAGTCAGATTTAAAGTCTACTAGTTTTATGTGGTTTTTACCTTCAAATCTAATCCCAAAATGGTGGATTTGCTCTCGAAACTCATTTAAGCCCACCAATGACAATTTTGAAATTTAGAAAATTTGCAGAAAAATTTATTTTATTTTTAAAATTTTAAAATATGTTTATATATTTCATATTTTATACTTAAGCCATACTTTGAACAGCATGAAGTATATTTTAATTTTATCTATTTTAAGGTTAAATATGATATGACTCTTATCAAATATGAAAAAGAAGAAATGTCCATGCTTCTCACCGTCACACACTTACAAAAATATTTTAAAATTTATAAGTATTTTGGTGATTTATTTATTTAAATTATTATTTAAATATTTTTTAGGTGCGTGATGGCGATAAATATGAACATACTAAAAATTAAAACAAATTTGATGTATAGAAAATGAGATAAAATTAAAATATACTATATGCTCTTAAAATGTGGATCTTGATTGTAAAATATGAAATATATAATACTACTTTTTAAAATTTTTAAAATAAAATAAATTTTTTTATAATGTTTCTCAAGTTTTCATGTAATTATTATGATATTTTAAAGGAAAAGGTCATACAAGATTGAAACTTTATAGAGGTAAGGTGTACTTATAATGTTCAATAGAAAAGAGTGTTCCGATGTTGGAAAACGTTCTAACCTCGAGGTGAAGAAGTATAAATAAGAAAAGAATTTCAAATAAAAAAAGTAGTACATTTCGTAACAAGTTATTTGAACCATCTATTTTCAAGATTTTCAAGTGTTTTTTGATCTGCTTGATCTGTACCATTTTTAAAATTTTCAATTTTATAAATAGATTTGAATACAAATTTTCAAGCCATCATAAGATTCATGATATTGAAACTACATATGTATACAAAATTTAGAAGCATGCTTATGTCTGCCATACAAGGAGGTAACCTTATGTAAACCTCACCTTGAGATGTATGAACGTGAAGGAAAAAAGAATTTAAAATGCAAAAAATAGTGCATCAAGTTATATGGATCGTTTGTTTTTAAGGTTAAGTTTTTATAAAGATGAGGCACAATCAAATTAAGGCGTACCTAAAAAAATTCACTAGAAGAGGTTGTTTCGAAGTGTAAAATCCTCAAATCGATCATCTCAACCTCAAGATGTATAGACACGGGAAAATAATCAATTTCAAATACTAGAAATAGTGCATATTGTAATTTTTAGACCATTGATTTTTAAGATTTTTAAGTGGTTATAGATTTGACAAATGTAAAACTATTTTCAAAACATTAAATTTTTATAATTAGAAATGAAAATAAATTTTGAGGCCAAATAAATTGTGAGGCCACCAATCTTTTGATACTATTTAAAGTGCGGGGTGTCTCTAAACAAATTTTAGATGTGTACCTTATTTTGCAGGCAACCTTATCCAAACCTTAATCTATTTGAAAACCTTATATATTAACTTTTTCCTTTAAACAAACCATAATAAACCCGGAAATAAATAAGACTAGAATTACAGCCATTTCCTGAAACATAAGGGGTATTTTAGTCCACCACCCTGACATTATCTCAGTTGATGCCCTGCGGGCTTTTACACTGTTAAATTATCAGACATATAATGTACTGTAAGGTATTTTTTCCCTAGAATTAAAACCAGATCCTCCTTGCACAAGAACTTTTCTTCTTCCTTCCAATCTTTAACAGGAAAAGCTCTAATTTTCCATGCTATAGTTTTGACCAAAACCTTAGTTCAAGACCAGCTTAATTGTGCCAGCATTTCATGGAAAGATTCAATTTTTGTGCCCTAATTCATCGCAGAACCAGAGGTCCAGGCCATTAAATGATGCCAAGAGAAAACCTAATTATTAAAATCCTAATTTTACCTCTTGATCTTAAGATCTGACGTAGAGAGTATCAGATCGATGGCTGGTGCTGCCTCGGCCCTTTTCCTTCTTGATATCAAGGGCAGGGTGCTTGTGTGGAGAGATTATAGAGGAGATGTCTCAGCTTTGCAAGCTGAGAAATTCTTTACGAAGCTTATAGAAAAGGAGGTAGCTTTATGTACCATTTGTTTAGGTTCATGCTCGATTAATTTTTTTTTTCTTTTTTTATTATGGCATATATATATTTTTGATTATGGCATGTTTTGGTTGTAAGTGGCAATGAGTTTTGTTACATTATTTAGTTTCTCTTAGCCATTGAGGGAATTGTTAATCTGATTTGATTTCCTGTGTAACTTTTTTGGGATCGAGTTTTCATATTCATAATTTGGATTGTTAGATATTACTAAACCTGAGCAAAGGAGGCAACCTCTTTTTCGGTTATTTATTTTTGTTGTCTAACTCATATGGAAGGAATAGATCTGATAGTATTATGTGGTTTATTTCAATTTTACATGTAAGTTGTCTGGAAAGGCATTAGTGGCATTTGATACCCTTTTTTATTTATTAATAAATGTAAAACTTCCTTGCTTAGTTATGGGGAAGCTCATCAAAAGGTTGGTAAAGCATCAGAAACAAGTCAACCAACAATCTTGTTTTTGAATTGTTTGAATGAGTTTGTGATTTGGGTGGCTATGTTGAGTTTTGAATTGAAGACTAACCACTGAGCCAAGGGTTGAACACATTTGAATGAGGTTTTAGTTATAATGGATTTTGGTATCGTTAGAAATGGTATTGCATCCAGTTGTTATTCTTTCCTGATGAATACTGGTTTGCTTTTGCTATTCTATGTTGCATCATACAAATTTGGGGCTGTTTGGTTTATGTTTTACGCCAAATTGCTCTCTATTGGTGAATGCCTTCTGAAATCTGAGTTCTTTTTGGCCTTTCTATTGCTTTTTGATTTGAACATGGTTTGGTTTCCTCAATCCACACAATGATTTTCAGTGCAATTTCAATTTTGTTTTGTTCACTTGTCTTCTAGTTGCCTTTTTTTGGCTTCTTCTATGGTAAACTTTTAAAATTTTGAATATAAAGGAGTAGAATAGGTATGTCTATCATTAAGTGGCATTGAGGGAAGTATTCCACTCCTGTTACAGCCCATGCTCATGAGAGAAAACACAAATGCGCGCACACACACAAAGACTACACTGGATGTGTTTGCTATTTTTTCTGAAAAAAATTGCTTCCATTTGGTATTTTAATACTGTATTTATGTGCTATTTCATTGATTGTGGACAAATATTGGTAATATTTGTCCTGCTTCACACAGCATTTCGTAAAATTTGGTCCTGTTTCTGATAGTTTCTTTCGCAGATGATTTTTAAGAAATGTGGTTTCTTACGTTTTCAACAAATCTGGTTTTATGAAGTTCTGTATTTTAGAAATTTTGTTACTGAACCATGTTCATGTTTTTTTGCTGAGCTTGGTTTGCGTTTGTCAACTGTACATCTGAAATTGCTTTTTTTGGATACATCTAGGTTTTGAATTCCAATTTTTGAAAATGGATCTAAAATGCTTGGGATCATTTTGGTCAAATGACAATGCTGCTCTTATGTGACAAATATAAGGAATATTCGTATTAAAGTGTGGATTGAAGAAAAACACTTTTAAGGTCCATTAACCTTATATTCACTACTAAAACTTCTTTTTTGGTCTATGTTAGGGGGATCCTGAGTCTCATGATCCTGTGGTGTATGATAATGGCGTGACGTACATGTTCATTCAGCACAACAATGTTTACTTGATGACAGCTTCTAGGCAGAACTGCAATGCTGCTAGTCTTCTGCTGTTTCTGCACCGAGTTGTTGATGTACGCTCTTTAATAACTACTTGCTACTGTAAGCTTGTCTTTGGTTACTGTCAGTGCACCGTTTGGTTGCAGCTGCTTGAAGCAAAATTCTACATGTTTTAAAATCACCTATTGTTCAAATGCATTAAAGGCATGCTGAGATGAGTTGTTTGACACTTTGATGGGACGACTAGAACTGCTGATCAAACTTGTGTAGCTCAATTTAGAATGCTAAAATGAAAAAGAAAACGAAATTCATATTGAATTAGTTAAACTAGTGGTTGCACTTTGAAATGGCCAAAGTGGTCACCTTCTAGACCCAACATCCATTTGGAAGTACTAGATATGTGATGATTCTTATCTTATCCCCCAACCCCATGCATATAAAAAAAAAAAAAAAAGGAAAGAAAAAAGAAGAAGAAGACCACCACCTCTATTTATTTGATTCTAAACTAGCTTCAGGGATATAACAACTTGGTTGTGGAAGTATATGCTTGACTGAATATCATTTGACTTGTCTCAAGGTTTTGCTTGATTATGAATTGTAGCAGAGTTCTTAGTTTAGTTCGGATGGTGGCAGGTTTTTAAGCACTATTTTGAAGAGTTGGAAGAGGAGTCTCTAAGAGATAATTTTGTTGTTGTGGTAAGATCGTCAGCCGAATTGCTATGCTGTTCTTCCATTCATAGTCAGTTTATTATAACGTATATCCAAATGCAAGTTCCTCACTTTGGGCTTTTGACAAATTGGTTGTTGTGCTGTGTGTATCGCATCACAAGGTTCTTAATATCAATCCTTTCACAATACAACAACTATAATATTTTTCATGGCTTTCTCATGTCCAATTTTGTGTTTTGGCAGTACGAATTACTTGATGAGATGATGGACTTTGGTTACCCACAATACACTGAAGCTAAAATACTGAGTGAATTCATTAAGACAGATGCTTACAGGATGGAAGTCACACAACGGCCTCCCATGGCAGTGACAAATGCAGTTTCATGGAGAAGTGAAGGAATACGGTACAAGAAAAATGAGGTGGGTGTTTTCTCTGAATTTTTGATTTGCTGCTTGGTTTTGTTCATTGTTCGCTGCACTATTTAGAAAATATAAGACCAGCCAATTTATTTATTATTAATCGAGTAACGCTTTTGTATCCTTGTGGGTGCATTTGCGTCCATTGTGTTCTGAAAACCAGATTGTGAATTTCAATATCTCAGGTATTTTTGGATGTAGTGGAAAGTGTCAATATCCTTGTCAACAGCAATGGACAGATTATTCGATCTGATGTAGTTGGGGCTTTAAAGATGAGGACTTATTTAAGGTGAATTATACCTTTCTATACTGGGTTTTGGATTCATGTATATTGCTTCTTGTTAGAATAAACTATTAGCAAGCAGCATGCACATATAGTGCCGTGGAGGTTATGGAAAGATAAAAGTACATTCCTATGTGGTGAGTATTCCAGTGAATCAGTGCACATAAATATAATCTCTAATCCTTGAGATCCATTGGGGCACAGAACTGCTTGAAAGCTGACAAGAAATGAAATGGATAAAACAATAAGACTCATGTTCACAAAGAAAAGAAAATATATGCAGCAAAATAAACTAAGGGGAAACAACTTTTACAAATGAAGACTGAAATTGGAGCATAGGTGCCGTAAACCGTAGGGAATAATACTTCAAAGGTGCTTCAGTAGGCACTTGAATATATTAGTTTGTAGTAGACATTAAATTAAAATATCGTAATAGTTTTTTTTCAGTATTTACCAAAACAACAATAGTCATTCTTTATTTCTAAAATACTTGTAATATAGTCTTGCTGGCTTTAAGGTTGTTTTTGTGATCTTCTCTTACTTGTTCTTTAGTATGTCTCTGATACTTAAAAGTCCTGGATTCCCCTCTCTAAAGAACCTTCTGGAATCTTGCATCAACAGTAGACATGTCTGGCTTAGTAAGTAATGGCAAGAAATGTAAGAATTACCAAAGCACATACGTCAAGGAGATAGTGAGGAGACATCTGAGAATAACAGGCTGAGTAAGACAAAAAGATTGCTCCTTTCCACCCTCTTCTTGGCTAGGACATTTGCCTTCTTAGTTGCTTCCTGAGGGATTTAGGAACCTCACTGCAGGTCTCTTCCTTTGGATTACATCATCCATCAGAACCCATTGAACTCCCTAAGGATAAAATTCCAGGATATCACTTAATCTCTGATTCTTTTGTTTACCCCCTCATGGTTACTTCAATTACCACTGAAGATTTTCTAATTCATTCTTTCTAGATTCCTTTGAAGATTGCTATGTGGAAAAATCTTAGGGAGTGTATGGCTACCTTGCATGAAGAAGTCTTAGCATCTAGCAAAACCATTAATTTTGCTGCCATCACTGGCATCACCATTTTATACAAAAAAAATCCATGAGAAAAGCTCAAATCTTCATGCCAGAGAGGCAAAGAATTAATGGATGTCCATTGTTCCTTCCCCCATCACTTGTAGGTTCATGTTTGGAAACTAGAAATGTCATGCCTGATGATTAGAGAGGGAGTTTTTGATACCAAGTGTCTGGGGAAGACTTCAGTCGGGTGCCAACAGGACCTTAAAAGACTATCCCAAGATCAGACATTATCATTTTACTTACACCAATTTGAGCTAAACCTAGTGGTCTTATTTACCGAAGTCTTCTACTTTACTGTGCCTGGGACTTCTCCTAAATTGAGATCCCTTCACAACCCTACTCTCATTCCTCTTAAAAGTCTCTTACCAGTACTGCATCACTATTGGGAGCAAGAGAATCTAGAACATGGAAGTGGGAATCTGAATTCTCAAACACCTCTGTGTTTCAATGTATTCCTGATTAGCATGTCCATTGTGACCCATCCCAACCTATATCCAATAATACCTTCTCCAAACTCATACATAGTTTTAGTAATGAGCCTCTTAATTATTAAAAAAAGAAAAAGAAATTCCTTTTGAATTCAAGCCCTTGTAAACAAATATGAGATCTCCTCGACAGAATTGCAATTTTTTGAATTCAAGCCCCTGCAAAAATGAGATCTCCTTAACTATTTATCAGCTTGTCTTTGGAGGCTGAGGAATAAATACTGTGGGACTTTTTGTGGACCTTGATTCTGGTGGATTTCTTTGTTTTCAGAAGTGGGATTGGTCCAAGAATGGAAGTTGGTTGTTGACTTTGGACTACTTCTCCAATACCTAGACCTGGGGTTTGTGTGCCAAACTACAATAGGGATTTTTTGAGCTTGATTTTGATGAAAGCTCCTTAGGCATCTTTGTTCACAGGGCATAGGGAGTGTTATTAGAGATGGTCATGATAGGATACTCAAGATATTCCCTTTGGCAGAGGGTCTTATGACTCAGGCATGGGTCAAATCCTGGTAGGTTTTTAGGTTTCTTTCCATTGCTTCTATGGACACTTTGTTGTAGAGGGTGACTGACACACTTTTGGAGGGCCAGGTAATATTATGGAGGGGATTTTTTTTGGCTGGGTATCACTACCTCTTGAGTTCATGTTCATGGAGAAACTAATATTGTGGTTCCTTTCTGAGGATGGAATTCAATGGCAATGCCTCTCATAGTTGTTGGAAACGCCTGGGAACCCGAATTGTTTTAGGAACCGGAATCGTGGAATCGCCGCCGGCTAGAAGATTCCTGTCTTAGGAATCGTTGTCTGTACAATAGGAATCTCGGGGAACGAGATTCCTAGTTTTTGAGAATCTTGTTTTGATTGAAATAGATCCAAGTTTCATCCACATATGGAATCAAGATTTTGTCCTCCTTGGAATCGAGATTCCCATCCCCGTGGAATCAACACTCTAGGAGTCAAGATTCATTAATATGCGGAATCGAGTTTCCGACATCTATGGAATCGAGTTTCTGACATATGTAGAATTGAGGTATGTTGCTGTTTCGAATCGTGATTCTAACACATTTGGAATCAAGTTTCTGAAGTATATGGATCAGAGATCCATGCCAGTTTGAGATCGAGATTTACAATAATATGGACTATGGAATGCATTTGACGACCACTACCAGGAATCGAGATTTCATTTTTATGGAGAAGGAAGCCCCAAGAACATCTTGAGCCTTATCAACTTTAGAACCTATATTGGATGTCTCTTATTAGAAGGTTTCCGAAATTTTAAAGTGATTGTGTTGACTATTGAACTTACGGTCATTATATATAAAAGATAAGTATTTCGAAATTGTGATTTTGACTTCATTATTATAAAGACAAAATAGGATTATGTTTACGTAGTGGTTTTACTTTCAATTGTATGTGTTGTATTTATCAGTTACATTTTAAATTTAAAGTAAAAGCCATCTAGGGTGGCACAAGTAAAATAATGAAACCTGGCAACCACTAGAAGCATTCGAAGGAAGATTTCCGCTCCAATTTCCTTTAGGAAGTGCACAACCATCATAGACATTGGACATTATGTACTTTCAATTGTTTTTTTTTCTTGCTTGATACTTTGAATATATTTAGTTTTGAATCAAGATTTAATCCTTGCTAGAATCCAGATTCAATATATTTGGGAACGTCTACCTACAATTAATGGGTTCAAGTTTCTAAAGATGTGTGGGATCGAGATTCCGAAATTAAGGAATCGAGTTTCCTTGGTTCTGATAAATGGTTTCTAAAGATGTATTGAATCAAGATTCTGAAATTAAGGAATCGAGTTTCTTTGGTTCCGAAAAATGGTTTCTAAAGATGTGTTGAATTGAGATTTTGAAATTGAGGAATCGAGTTTCCTTGGTTCCAAAAAACGGTTTATGTGGAGATTTCTTAATGCAAACACGGAATTGGGTTTCGTAATCGGAATCGCGAGGTTGGTGGAGAGATTCCGGTAACTATGATCCCTCTTCTATTTGGACACCTGATATCCTTGCAAAATTCTTCCCACCCTGCCAGTTCAAGGGGGGTTGAGGCATGGAAATTCCCTTTCTTATTCTTTTCCTGATTTTGTTTGAGCAATCAACTTGCTAATGAGATATGCCGTGTACAATGTGTTGATTGAGGTGTTTTAGGGTGACATTGAACCCCGGACTAATTTTTCATTTACAGTCCATGGATGATCCATTGCACTTTCTGGCACAGGAGGTTTTTCGTTTGATAACCTGGATTCATCCTTACATGCTATGAACTGCTTTTAAGGCAAGATTGGACACCGAGGATGAACTTGGTGATGGTGGTATAGGTAATACTGGATATGCTCGGGATGCTACATAATGGTTGGGTTGTCAGGTAAAATTTTGAAATACAATTACTTATTTGTGGTTTGCGTGGTGCATGAGTAATGCTTGGAAGTTTCCCTGGGATTTGGTGGTTAAAAAAAAGTGAGTGGAGTTGGTTCTCCAGAAAGCCAATACCTTTCTCTGAGTGGACTCATTGCACTTGATAAATATCATAGCTTACTTGATGTCATTATTCCATATGTCCCTCTTTAGTCATGAGAATTTAGAGAGAGTTCAGTATGGTGTTGAAATGGGGATGTCCCAATTCCGAGTTTTACCTAGTTTGTAAACAGATGGTAGAAGGGGCTTATGGTTATTGCTTGGTTAATAAAACCTTGTTGGCAGCATTGGAGGTTTGTAGAAGCTTTGAGAAGTCAAGGCAATGTTTTTTTCTTTTGTTTTTCTTTTTTTCCCTCTTCTTCTGGAGGGGGTGGGAAGGCGGAAGTGTGTCCTATTGTGGGTGGCTGGAGATCGAGCATGTTTCTGGCATTTAATTCTGTAGACTCGGTTAGGAGTTCCTGAAGGAAATTAGTCATAGTTGTAGGAGTGGTAGGGTGAATTTTTTTGTGGACGTATGGTGGAGAGGTGCGCTGCCAAGGCTAATTTTTCAGTTCTTTGTCTATTTAGTCTTTGATGTGTGTTCAACAATGAAAATTATCAGGCTGGTCGATTTCGAGGGCTTTGGTGGGTATGTCTGGACAAAGGATGTCCCTTAGGAATTGGAGCCTTTTGGTTGGATGTTTCTATTGCCTAGGGGCCCTGGGCTGGTGTGCTTGTAGGAAATGTACGTTCTGTTGAAGGTGATTAACAGAGAAGTCTATGGATTTTGGTGTTGGTTCGAGTTTTGTTTGTGTGTTCCTTCTTCCCCCTTGTGTTCTGTCGATGTGTTGTGTATAGCATTTGAGTTGAGGAAATTGGTATCGGGGGCTGCTTCCCTCCATCATGTTGCAATCTTTGGGTCATTTATTAGTTATAACGTCGTAGCAGTGAATCATTTGTAGGCCAGGGCGAATTTGTGCAAGAATGTTTAGGAGAGGGAACATCTCTTCATTCACTGTGAATTTGTTCACAGTGTTTGGAATAATTCTTCCTCAGTCCTTTTGGGATCAGTGGTTGCCTAGTTGCAGGAGTCTCTTATTTCGCTTGTGGGGCAATGTGCCCTTTCTTGTCTTGAAGGAAAGCTCCAACCCTTTCCTTTGGAAGTGCTACCGACAGTGTATTTTTGGATATTTTTTTAGGGGTTGGGAAAAGAGAGGCCAATATTGAGGGGGATGTGTGTCTCTTGAGGGAGTTGAGGGGAAACCTCAGGACATTAAGGACTCTTTTCTTTTCCTTGATCTATTTACTTTCGTTCAGATTCACTTTTACTTCTTTTTCATTTTCTTATCTTTATCTAACTATTTCTTGTACTTCTTGGGTTATGTCCCCTTGGGTGCATGGTTTATTGAACTTTATGTAACCTTGAACCTCCTAATTTTTCCGTTCTCTGTATCAAAAATAAAAGCAAAATTGAATTTGATCACTGACTCCCTCTCCGTAAAATCGTCCAAATTTTCCCATGCCACCTAAGTGCATCAAGAAAAAACTTGTGTCACAATCTTTCTCTGCTCCTGTTTGTACTAAAACCATGAAAATTGAACTAGTGGGTTTTTCCTGCAGTGGTATGCCGGAATGCAAGCTTGGTCTGAATGACAGAGTACTTTTGGAGGCCCAAGGTCGATCAACAAAGGGCAAAGCCATTGATCTAGATGATATCAAATTTCATCAGTATGTGGCCGACTCTTCTTCGTACTGGCATGCCCATATTTTGAAGGAAGTGTATTTAGCCTTAGGAAAGTATTTATTATTCTAAAACACCCAGTTCCAAAAACAAATATTCAATAACACTATTAGTTTTGGTACCAGAGGTTGCAATCAAGTTTGGCCCCCCTTGTTTCTTTTTTGAAATGTAACTTTTTTAAGAACTCAAAATAAAGTTTTTCAGGTTTTTTGTTTTTTTTGGATGTGAAATTATATTGCTGGGGGTGTCGCATTGACCTGGTTCGTAGTCTAACTGAAAATATTTCAAAACTTTGTGAGACACCTCAAGCTGCCATATTTCATATCTGACGGCTATGAGTGATTGTGACCTCCTTGTACTAATGGTAACTGGTCTTACAGTATGCAATCCCTTTAGCTATTTGGCTAGTTTTGAATATAAACTTATTTCTGCTCATGAAGTATTATCACAATTGATAATTTTCTCAGGGGAACCTTCATGCGGTTCTCTATTGTTTCAGGTGTGTGCGCCTAGCTCGTTTTGAAAATGACAGGACGATATCTTTTATACCACCTGATGGGTCTTTTGATTTGATGACATACAGACTGAATACTCAGGTATTGATTGCCATTGATGCTAGTACTACCCACTCATCTGTTTTTGTGAGTGACCGGTGCTCATGAAATAAAAGGGTGACTTTATTTGTGTGTACAGGTGAAGCCTCTTATATGGGTGGAAGCTCAAGTTGAAAGGCATTCAAGAAGCCGTATAGAGATAATGGTGAAGGCACGGAGTCAGTTCAAGGAGCGAAGGTAGATGCTGCCCTCGATGCTAACATCACCCTTATGACGCTTCTTTTGGCTATATCTTTTCGACAAGTATGCTGCTAATCCAGTGAACCATGAACAACCTACATCCATTGGGTGATAATTGATCATTGCAATGATGGATGGAGTAAAAGTGGGATGACCGACTCTGGTTTCCCATAGTCCGTTTGATTGCAGTATACTTGTATCTCTCTGATGACCAGGGTGGAGACATCTAGAATAGCTACTTTCTGAAATTGCATTCATTTGTTTTGATGCAGCACTGCTACAAATGTTGAAATAGAGTTGCCTGTACCTTCTGATGCTACTAATCCTAATGTGAGAACGTCCATGGGCTCTGCTACATACGCACCTGAAAAGGAGGCATTGCTTTGGAAAATAAAATCCTTTCCAGGTGGCAAGGTGTGTTTAACTTGCATGCTTTTTCCCTGATTTCTCTATCATCTGATTGGAGGCACCGTAGACTAGTACTTCTTAAGGAGTAGCCAATAACTTTTGGAGAACTTGGGCTGATTTTGTCCCCGAAGTTTGCATTTCTGATATGCTTTAGATTGATCTCTATAGTGTCTTTGTAGGAGCATATGTTGGGGTCACAATTTAGTTTTCACTTGGGCTGATTTTGTCCCCAAAGTTTTCACTTCTTGTGTGGTTCAATATTAATTTTTTAGGAGTATATGTTGAGGGCACAATTTAGTCTTCCAAGTATCACAGCTGAAGAAGCAACTCCAGAGAAAAAAGCTCCGATACGTGTGAAGTTCGAGATTCCTTATTTCACTGTATCTGGGATACAGGTATGTAATTCCTTTGTGTTTTCTTTGTACTCTTCTAATGTATTGGGATTTTCATGGTGGCTACTTTCTTTATCTGCAATTCTGCTAACGGTTTTCTTTTCTTGGATTGTTTATTCAATGTATGAGAACTGAGATTGTAGTGATACATAATAGTGCGTTGGAAACACATCAAAATCATGCTTTCGAGCTTAATGCCTTATATTTCTAAGTTGGTTAATACTCCAAAGTGGGAAGGTGTTTGGGAGACACAAAACACCTTCAAGATTTGATGTAAAAGTAAGGCATTTTACATTAAGTTCAAAAGGGTTCAAAAGGCCTTTTTTGTTTCAACCGTATGACCCCCTGGAAATGCCATCAAGCGTTGCAGGCAGGACATTCTGCAGTAGCCAATCCCAAATGAAGCCTAAACAATTCCTCCTGAATAGTCATGGTTGTGGTCTAGGGTCTGAATTTTTTTTCATTATTTGCTAATTTCCGATTTTGTTTCATTTTGGCACAAGGTTGAAAAACACTTCAGTAAGAGCCCTTGGCAGTCGAATAATAAGCTTTGTGACTATAGAACTTTTAGTCATAAGAGATGTCACCTGCCAATCCATGGTTAAACAGGGATGGAGAAAGAGGGGATCAAGCATTCAATGTCATGGGTCTCGTTCTCCATCATAGTCCGACCATTGTGGTAACCTGAATAGAAAAAAAGGAGTGCAGCCATTGGTTGCACGGTGGTTCTCTTAACTATGATTTTCTGTAGTCATAAGTATATTGTAGTATAGTTGCCCTTTTAAAAACTTAACGCAATGTCATATTACAATGGCAATGGGCATTTGCCTCCCAATAGAGTTTCTCCAATTTTGAAGTGTAGAAATTGAATGATTGTTCTGGTACATCAATAGGAGTAAACATTCCATATTTTTTCTAGAGGTAATTAGCACATATATTCTGTAGTCGAGGTACTATCTTTGCAGCTTCAAATGGGAAGGATGACAGGATAAGTCATGGTCATCAAATGTGTGATATAGACTTGATGCTCTGGGGGGTCCACTGCACTGTGCAGCTTGAATTCAAAGAATAACATGAATATGTGATTTATGTGATATGTAGCCATTTTAATTTAAAACTTGCGTTTAATATATCTTCTGTCTCAATCCCTGATAGCCTGATAGCATGATATACAATGCCAGAGTAGTGGTTTCTATTCTGTAATAGTCTAATGTAGTTAGCATGTAAAATAAATTAATCCATCCAATTCCTTAAGTAAAACACACAAGAATATGTATTATCCCGAGTATAATATGTAATATACGTCGGTTTCAAAGTATTATATCAATTATCAAATCAAAATCGAATGAATTTGGATTTCTAAATTTTAATCTCCTTGCCGCATTAAACCCTCAATTCCTTAGTAAATCTTCATTTGAAATCGTTCGAAATAATGTACAATTTAAACTCAAAACTTTTGCCCAAAGAAACCCCAAATATTATCGAAATCTTCTGGTACGATACAAAATTTGATTCCTAATTCCTAGACTTCAATCTTCTTAGAAGGATGGAAAATTATGCAACCCCCCCCTCCCTTTCTTTTTCCTCCTATTTTTCTCTCCACCACAAAAGAACCATCTCCCCACTGTTCCAGGGGGAAAAAGAATATGTTGCCTCTGCTTGTGTGTATTTGTCTGCCCCTAAGTATTCACCTTCATAATTTGTCAATGCACCTGCATATGGGTTGGATGTGCCTGTATATGTGGGCACATTGTGATATCCCACTTATGCATCATTATGCAGTTTGAGAACTTTGGTATAAGTAAAGGTTAACTGTCTAGAAATGGAAAAAGAAAAAAGAAAAAGAAAAAGAAAAAGAAAAAGAAAAAGAAGAAGATGATAATATGAGTAGAGGTTGATATATGTCTATTTTAAAAGCTAATAGGATGCACATGGGCAGCACTGACCTTTTTGTTTAACAATGATATATTTTTTTCGGTTCTTATTTAGTTTTTGTATTTGTTTAGTGTATCTTGGTTTGCTTGACAGAAGTTGATGATCTGATTTTTGCTGAGTTTTGTGGTGTATGTATGTTTCTGATGTCCTACATGTGCTTGTACAAACAGAACTCATCTCTCATTCACTTAAGATCACTGTAGTCTCTATATGATATTTACTTTATGCCAAGTGACTGTTCACTCCTGCTATTGTACTTCCTTCTTAGTCAGTTGTCCGATATCGGTACCCATAGTTGATATTTACTACACGATTCAACTATTATCTTCAGCAAATCACTCCTTCGACCAAAAATGCCTTATTAATTGCTAGATCTTAGAACCATTACAAGGTTTTCTGCTTTTGAGATAAGGTTGCGCTGCAAAGGGCCAGTATATCATTGGGAAAAGTGGGGATGGGAGACCATTGCTTCTTTAGGGCCTGTTTGGATGACAATTGACTATCTGGAAGACCATCTCTCTACAATTAATATACTCTGGATGTGATATTCTATTAGTCATTGACTATCTGGAAGACCATCTCTCTACAATTAATATACTCTGGATGACATATTCTACTAGTTGTTTGGTACGTATCTTATATTTCATATAATATTATTTAATTAATTAACTTTTTCAGTATTTTCCAGCTATGTTTAGCTATTTTTGGCTAAAAAAATGCAATTTCAGCATATTAACTTGAATAAAATAAAAACAAATTATTTAAAAAGATAATTTATATGTAAAACTTTCTATAAAAGTCTATAATTTTATTTCAGATAGCTTTATGATGGAGACTACCAAACAACTTATAGTTTCTTATCAGGATCAATTTTATTGAGATAGTGATTTAACACTGGTAATGATTACATCATACACGCCCCTTAGGTTACTCTCCAATTTTTCATTTGGCCCATTCTAGTCCTCATGTGGCTGTTGAAGACTAGGTGTTTAGACACTTTAATGGGCGTTGATGAGTGAGATGGCTTTTAGGGCTGCAAAATGCCTTACGTGTATCATCTACTTTGTCGACAATTGAAAGATGTGTGATTTTGTCAAGGATTTTTATAAAATACATTAAAATTGATCCAAGCAAGGAGGGAGGGGCTGTTGGTTGCTTCAATAGCATTATAAGTTTGGTCAGAAAATTCCAATTGTTTTGTATTTTGAAATGACACAAGAATCTTTGGAATGATTCACTTCTGGTATAATTTGTCCTTTGTTTTATGTAGGTTCGGTACTTGAAGATTATTGAGAAGAGTGGTTACCAGGCCTTACCTTGGGTGAGATACATAACAATGGCTGGCGAATATGAACTCAGGCTCATATAGGCCAATTTATTAGTGTGAAAAGTAGTCCTCAAGCTTTAAAGAGATTCTCTCTCTTTGCCCATGAGTGAGAAGTCATCCTGAGTTTTAGGTGTGTTCAGTCACTTATCTTTATAGCTCTCTCTAATGTCCAATTTTTGTGATGTGGTTTGGCTTTTATAGTATTGGTTTTGTAAGAACGAATGGTTGATCAATGTTTCCTAGAAAGTTTTGTCAATTAAAATTCATTAATGGGGATCACTCTTAAATGGGTGCACTCTACCAGACTACCACTCAGATTCCTCTTTCCTATTTCTTTGTTGAGATTCATGCTTTAGTGTCATGTACACTCCAAATTTCGGTGACATTCACTCACAGGTATGATATTCCTTTTTGTGGTGAAACTTGCTTGGGCAGAGTTGAAACCTGGCCCGCATTCATACGGTCTTTTGATCCATATTACTCTTATGAAGAACTACTAAATACGCCACGGGCTTTTCCAGCTACATGGATGGTTCTTGCTTTTTCTGGCGTGTGTAAATATTATTGGTTCGTCCATCGAGCTAGGTGGATGCTGCCCTGCCCCGTGTGTGTGTGTGAGAGATTTCATAGGTGTTCTGTTGCTCTTCTTTTTGTTGGAGAGAGAGAGAGAGTTCATAGGTGTTCTGTTCTTGATAATCTATTTTTGATATGGATTTTTGAACCTAATTTTTAAGGACATATAATCTCTAACATGGAGATCATGAATATGAAAAAATAAATAATTTTTGAAAATTTAAAATAATAATTCTATTAATAAAACATTTGGACTGTTAGTTGTAATAGAGTTTAAATGGACCACTTATTTGCATCTATTTTTAAGATGGATGTTGGGACCGCAAATGCAGAAATACTGGGACCGCAAATGTAGAAATGCAGAAACTGTTGCGAAATAGGATTTATCGTCTTTAGGCCCCACATGTGATCTGATATCGAACGATATTCGTCAAATATCGTGATATTTTAAAAAAAGGTCATCGGATGCACTACTAAACAGCATTCACCATTCTATATTTGCTATTCATATGGCATTTTGATTAGGGTGTGGTTTGCATAAGGATGCAGCCTTAAAAGGCGCACTTCCAAACTTTGGTCAGGAGATATAATTTTGGTGTGGAAATTTTTTAAGATGACACGAGAATCTATTTTAATCTTTAATTATAAAATTTTGAACTCCAAAATTTGTTCAAATTAAGCAGATCTATAAATGTAGTGAAAATTTTGAAAATGGATTGTCCAGATGATAAGTGCAAGATGTATTATTTTTGAGATTTGAATTTATTTATTTTCATGTCCTTACACTTTGATGTTGAGATGATTAATTAAATGTTTTTTCAACACCAGAACAGCTTTGTACAACCTTTTTCTAGAGGATTTTTGAGATTCAACTTAATTCTAACATTTTAAGGTGTCAACCAGAGTACATATTGCTAGATATATCTATACTTCTATAGCATTATTATTTTTTAATACAAAATGTCTAAATGAATAAGCATGTCAGTTTTATTTTCCCTTTTCATGTCTAGTATTAACTCATATTCCATTATATATTGATTATTTATGCACTTTTCTGATTATTTTTGCACTTTTCTTCGACTTTGGTTCTAGTTTTGGGTGTGGTATGTATAAGGTGTCAAAATTAAACAATCAAAGTAAGGTGCAACGTTAAATATTGCTAAAAGATGCAGTCCCAATATAAGCACTTGAAAATTTTGAAAATGGACTGATAAGATAGTGTGATATAAGATGAACTATTTTTAGGACGAAGTTTTTTTTTCCATATGTGTATATCTTGAGGTCAAGATGACCAATTGTAGGTTTTTCGGCATCAGAACATCTTTTTTGAATAGATTTTTGTCCTAGAAGTAGTAAGAAACCTTGCTCTGATACCAATGAAATGACTTTATGATAAAATACGGTGTATATATTTTAAAAAAAATTCTTTATTCCTATACCGGCAAGATCACTTATAATGTCAAAATATAATGAAATCACTCTTGAATAAATAAAATGGAATAAAATCGATTTTCAATTGCTACATCTTCGAATACGATTTTTTATTCAACAAACAATACTAGACTTTATTGCTTTATGAGAAGAAAATATCAAAACATAAATAAATATTTAAAAAGGTAAAATTGCCAGAGATTACCTCAATCGGGTTTAATACATCCCATGCCGACTCTCCTCTTCCTATGGAATATTTAAAAGGTAAAATTGCTGGAGTTTACCATAATCGGGCTTAGTACATCCCACGTTGAGTCTCCTCCTTTTGATGGAATATTTTAAAAGGTAAAATTGTTGGAGATTACTTAAACCAGATTTAGTATATCCCACGCCGAGTTTATTCTTTACGATGAAATATTTAAAGAGGTAAAATTTGCTCAATCGGGCTTAGTATATCCCACGTCGAGTCTTCTCCTTTCGAAGAAATATTTAAAAAGGTAAAATTGTCGGATATTATCTCAACTAAGCTTAGTACACCTAAAAAGTAAAGTTGCCGGAGATTACCTCAACCGGGCTTAGTACACTCCGCGTTGAGTCTTCTCATTACGATGGTGCTCATGCCGAGTCTCCTCTTTCTGATGATGCTCATAGTTATACGATCGGTATGTTGATTTCCCTACTATGGCAAAAATCCACCCACTTAGCTTGATTTTAGAGAGATGAGAGATGAATATCAAGAGAGAGGGAAATATAGACTAGCAAGAGGTTCTACCCCTTTGCCACCCATAAAGAAAGACACCTAAGAGATCTACTAGTAGGGGTTCCGCCCCTTTGCCACCCACCAAGAAAGACACCACCTAGGCTTAGGTGTGCCACCCAAAACAAATTAGAAAGAGTGAAAAATAGAATAACTTGGAGAGACAGTGATAAAAATTAGGGCGTCCCCTCCCCTATGGGAATCCAAAGAGAGAGCTAAATTTGGGGTATGGAAGGGAATCCACATAGAGCTAAATTTGGGGTATGGAGAGGGAATTCTTATAGAAGAGAATCTAGAGAGAGCTAAATTTGGGGTATGGAGAGAGAGAATTTTTAAAGATAGAAGAGAGAATATGTATATAATTTAGTAAGAGCTAAATTTAGGGTATGGAGGGGAATGATAGAAAGCTAAATTTGGGGTATGGAGAGAGAGAATTCTTAAAGATTGAAGAGAGCTAAATTTGGGAATTTGGGGTATGGAGAGAGTTTTATTAAAGACAGAAGAGAGCTAAATTTGGGGTATGGAGAGAGAAATTCTTAAAGAAAGAAGAGATAATACGTACGTAATTGTTAAGAGGGGGAGACCTCTTTCTATGGTTAAGAAGGGGAAACATCTTTCTATGTCATAGATTTTGCCTCTTTCTATGTCGTAGATTTTGCCTAAATTAGTAAAGTCAAATGGTCAAATATACCTTGGAGGAAAACTTGTGGGGTGAGAAATTTGAGCCATCCATCTCCTTAATTATTGAATCAACCACATAGTTAGTAAATATATCAAATATTCAACCTAATCATATAAGTTGTAATAAATATCTCAAATATTAAATTTATATTTATACTTAAAAAAAATACCTAAAAAGAAGGACAAACTTTCTTCCCAAGAAAATACGTAAATGAGTGGTGCTTTTGGTGGCCATGTGTAGGCCCCGCCTAATCTACATGTTTTTAAATTTTGGGTTGGATATTTTATAGAGGTCCCGTATATTTTAGAAAGTATTTTATTTCATATTTAGAATTTTAAAATATCATATTTTATTTAAAACATTGGAAAATTAATTTATTTTAGATTATAAATCCAAATGACAAAAATAAAATATCAAAAGTTTCACAAAAATTCAAATAAACATTTTAAAAATCTCATAACATAAAAGTAATTAATTTTGATGGGAATCATATCCGTTAGATATAAGAAATTATCAATATATGGAAGCATTCCACATTCAATTGCGAATCACGATCCACCTAGCTTTCTCAAACTGACTCAACAGTTCTCATGACCTACAATCTACTTCATGATTGGACCACAAAAGTCAGCCAATAGACTGGGACGAAAATCATGGTCCTCCAGACCATGATGTAACCATGATTCTATGGTAAGTCACCCAATAGACTAGGACAAAAATCATGATCCTTCAAGATATGATGCAACCATGATTCTATGGTGCATAAAGTAGGGGTAATCTCTCGCACATGTACACGTTTCAACCTCATTAGCGAATCTCAAAACGACGTACATGCCGTGTGATAAACGACGTATGTGCCGTGTGATGAGATAACGATGAGGTTTTAACCTAGTCGCATCTCATCCAGGCATACAGGCATACATCGACCCTTTTCGGTTAGATCCCTATGCCCAGGTATGTTGTCTCATCTTATTCAGGCATACAGGCATACACCGACCTTTCTCGGTTAGATCTCATCCAGGCATACAAGCATACACAGACCCTTCTCGATTAGATCCCTATGCCCTGATATCTTGAGTTTTTTCAAACCTTGGCCGGCCTAGCTCATCGAATCTAGTCCAAGTATCAGCAAATAACATTTGTCTAATATGGTTCACAAAAGAACCATACTGATTTTTATATTTCATTTATCAAATAGGTTTTATACAATCTCTGATAAACCCAACACTTCAGCTCGTAGTGTGGTGGCCAGTGTTCTTGATTTTGTACGAGCTTCATGCAAATAAGAGGGCGAGTTCGGCAGAAGACAACCAGATGGTGAATGATCTTGTAGGAGCTTCATGCAAATAAGAAGGCGATTTCGGCAGAAGGCAACCAGATGGTGAATGTGGGTTCAGTAGAAGGCGATCAGATTGTGAATACGCCTTCCGCAGAAGGCGACGAGAAGGTTGAGGTGTTAATCGTGAACACGAATACTGATGCAGATCGCCAAGGTATGAGGCCTTTGCTTTATAAGATTGTGATTTTTATTCTATAAAATCTTGTCCCATCTATTAGAACCAATGGTTTAAAAAACGGATCGGTGACCCGGATCGGGCTCCCAAAAAACCGATCCGGATCGGCGAATCGGCGATCCGGATTGGGAATAGAGTGAATCGGTCAGAATAAAGCTTCAAAAAAATCCGAAAAAATTATTAAAATTCATTATAAATATTGTTTTTTAGGAATTCAATAAGAAATGAGGGTACTCCATTAAGAATTTTCATGTTTTTGAATGAATATGCGAATATTGATATGTTCTTTCCCTGCATGAACCGCCATTCAGCATTGAATTTACATCACACAAAAGGATAAACATAGAATTATCATGGA